ATGAGGTGCGAAGCAATGTTGCTTTACACTCGAGGATGTTATGAATTGGAAAGCTGCTTTTCTTAAGCTCTATATCAGACAGCCCATCAGGCAGCATTGACAGGAGGCTAAGCAGATCCTGTGTGCCAGATATAGATGCTACCCGAGGGCTTGAAAGGGACAAGGCAATAGACATGTCTAAATTTGATCTTCGGTCATATCCATCTGATACTAGTGATGTTTTCTCTGTGTCCCAGCGGGAGAGAACAGTTGCACATCCTTCAGAGTCCACCAAATGAGCCATTAGGTCAATTGCTAGAGGCATGTTGTCTGTCAAATGTAGGATCTTGTCCACATCATTGCTATCATGAATTTCACCAGCAATGTCAATAAATGTCTTTTGAGCAGCATCATAAGCCAATGGCGACAAAGGTTCCAGAAAAGGGCGAGTCCAACGAATTTGAGCAGGTCGCTCGGCTCCTCGCATTGTGATCTACAAAGCAAGATTAGTCTAGATGACTTGACAGAAGTCAAGGGACAGTTGAGATTCAAAACCAGCTGCCTTCCCAATAATAGGCCATGTGAGAAGAGGTCAAAAACAACTTTTAGACCTCTACTTGTTTTTGTCCCTATGACAGAAGCAGCTACTCACTATTAAAGCAAGGTGTTGGATGTCTGTAAGAAGAGCCAAAAATTCTTCAATTTCTTTGCGAGACCCAGTGGACTCCCATGCAGTCTCCAGATTATCCAGAATCAACAGACTAGGTGGCCTAATTGCAAAGTGGCGAATTATCTGCTGTGTGGGGTTTTTACTCAGCTTGAGCCCAAGGTGATTGACAATGAGAGCTACAAGCTCTGGCATGGTTGAAGCTACATCACAGGCAACAAAGATCCGACAATCTCCAAAACTATGGATGATATCTGGATGATGAAGCACAGCTCTTGCAAGACTGGTTTTGCCCATTCCCCCTGCTCCAAGAATTGGAATCCGTGGTTTGTTGTTGATGAACAGTTGGAGAATGTCTGAAAGCTCTGATTCACGGCCATGGAATATTTGTGGCATGGATGGCAGCATTGAAAGTGAAGTCGAGCTTGATCTCAAAGTTAATAAAGTTATAACATCAAGTATTAGCACAAACCTGTTGAAAGAGCTTGAAAGCACTCTACTCAACTGTTAAATGTTAAAAAAACAAACTTCAACACAATAAATACACGACACACAGAAGATGTTGTTTCTGAATTGGTTGTGTCCGAGAGAGAAGCAATCAATTCCAGAACTTCATGGTGTCTCTCCATTGCATTCTTTTGCATCTCGTTGATGTACTTGGAAAGATTGGCTGTGTTGATCTACAGCACTTGAGTGCAGTAGCTGGCAAACAGGGATGATCGTTTCCATACCTTGAAGACAACAATTGCATTTTGCAACCCAGTTTTACAGTCTTTCAGGAGTGTGTTCATTTCAGACCTGCGGAGGAGAATTTTGATCTTGTTTCCATCCTGCTGTGCCTCAACAAACATATGGATCTTGTGAAGAGTCCTATATGAAATCTGTGAGTAGCTGCTTTACTGCATTGGAAGAACAGTACATAATGAAGTCACCAATGTGGCTCAACATAGTTGGACTCAAGGTCCCCAGAGTATCTGAGTTTACACAGATAGAAATGATTGCATGAAGTACCACCAGGGTCTGCTCTAGCAAGAGTGTGGATTCATCTTTATTTTTTTTTCACAGTCTATAAAGGAGACTTAGTCTATTTCAAGGCACCAGCAGTAGACTTTCCTCCATCAGCTTTGTAAGTGACTCAATAGTCGCAGAGATTGAATTAAAAAATGGAATTCTGAGGTCGTTGGCAAGAATGTCGACAGTATCTACAGCCGCCTTCAAGCATGCTGTAACACTGTTCAAGCGAATTTGGGTGGCGCTGGAGAGAGAGGGCATGTTGACGGGATCGACAGCAGTGACGGTTGGAGACAAATTTTAGTGGGCTTTTATGGTTTGTGTATGATACTGTACCATTTCGACCATAGATTCAGCCGGTGTGACCTGTGACCACTTAGATTCAATTTTGATTGATTCAAATTCCCTTTTTGGGCGATTTTTCGGAATTTATCAACGATTTTTGGCACGAAAAGTGCCTAAAACCACAATCCTGGAGGCCAGTGACCTGTGACCTTTATTTTTTTAGCTTCAATTCAAGGACCGTTGTGACCAGTGACCTGAATCTATGGTCGAAATGGTACAGTACTTCTGTCCATCAGCTCAGGCTTCAAGTTGTAGATGCGAATAGTGGCACATAATCATTGATCAAGTCATTGTTAACATTTTGACTAGTACACGCGAGGTACAAGATTACACGGCACGGTTCGACTCACGAACGCCGGTTTCTAGCCGCCTGAATTGGATTTTGATTGGATTTATGTACACACCGCCCGCGCACCTAATCCGCGGACGTATTGCTTACAAATCGATCTTGAAGGACAATTAATACGTTGAGTTTAATACATCTTGAAGGAACCGTGCCGTCGACGGAGGTGGGTGCTTCTATTACGTGCACCGCCTATCCCTGATTGGGAAACCGTTGGCGGGCGCCTCTGTCACTGCCGGCGCCTCCGTCATGCCTCTGGGTAGTATAGAACTGCTCTACTAGCAGGTCTACATGCCTCTGTGAGTCTGTAGAATGCACATATTGGCTCACATATGCACCTGGAGTATCACTGCAAGTTTGGCATGCTGTATTCCACAGCTGAAAGAAAATATTCCTGGCCAAAAGAATAGCAATGGTTGGCCTCCGGCATCCATATTTGACATTTCCGGCATTGCCAGACATATTTATAGTCAGCAGTCCCTCAACACATGCCATGTGAGTGCGTGGATCATTCTAAAATATAAAAGATGTCGCCTCCGGTGCCTCCGGCATCGGCAAGGACAATGACAGCGCCGATGGCAACGATGGTGCTGATGGCGCCGGCCCGGGACATTTTTTGTGCCATCCATCACTCCAATACATGATAGACTAGGTGCAATGCTCATTTTTCTTCTGTCTGTAAGTGGTTTTTTCATCCAGATATGGCCTTCGGCGCCTCCGGCACCTTCGGCATCGGCATGTGTAGTGACGATGGTGATGATGGTGCCGATGGTGCCGGCCTAAGACATGTTTTGTGTGCTTTGCTGCCATCCATCACTCGGATACAAGTGCATATGCCTCCTCTCAGGCTCTGCCTTTGATACCAGCACCTCCAGCTTTGCATCAATACCTCCAGCTCCACCTTTAGCCCCGGCTCCGGTGTTAGCGCCTCCGGCTTCAGTATCTATGTTTCCGGCTTCAGAACCTAGGTGCCTCACAGGTTGGTTCGGCATTTATCAAGTTTGTTGTGTATATATTAATGGCTCAATACACTCAATACACAAAATGGTAGCTAGCATCTATTTGCGTAGTACCCTCTGCCATCGTCGCCTTCGGCATCGGCATCAACGCCTCCGGCACCAGAATTAGTGCTGAAGATGGTTTCTGGAATGCTTTATTTGATCTGGACTGCACTTCAGCACATTTATCTCATACATAAACTGCTTAGTGCTCGATAAACAGTTGTTGCACATTCGGGACGGAGGTGAGAAGATAACACAGCCTTTGATGACTTCCCTTCTTGATGGAAGGACATTGATCAATCAATCAGATGGCTTCCCTTCCTGATCGAAGAACACTGATCAACCAATCAGCAGTCGTATAATACTCGTACCCTCGTATTTTATTTCTCTTAAATACATTTTGATAGCTGACCCTTCCGATTTAAGTTGCATTCTCGTCCAGGGACATGCCCCCAGTGACTATTAACAAACTTAGATATGGTTTCCCTCCCCAATTTTTTATGGTACACAAATTGCGTCCAAAGCCGTGTAAGGTTCTTAATAGCATTCCACCTTTAAGTAGCATATTGTATACTTTGTCATTTCCATTGCTCTCCATTTGTCTTCATTGGTCTTAAAAAGGTCTTCAAACAATCCAGAGGCTTTTTTGTCGGAAAACTGGAAAATCCCTGATAAGGTGCTGACGGCCTTGTCAGGTCATATCAGGTCTTGTCAGGTTTGGTTGTAGGGGTATCAGGACCCATAACAACCTCGTCAGGGCTCATCAGGCCTGGTTAGAGTACAAATAGCTGATAGCATAGAATTTGTCACAACGACACATTATCTGCTTATAGGAACATATGAACATGCGGCTCACTGCGGCGCGAGAAACTGTGCTGTGAGGCTGCGGATAACATACTTCATCGACACCTTCCTCGACTGGTTACGTATCTCGCAACCAGCCCAGTGCGTCCACGGCTTTTTATCTACCCCGCTCAAATATGCAAATCTGCGCCCACTGGAATTCACAGCACTAGTTCACCCTAAAATTCACAGGGAAAGTCAGTGAATTCACTGCCCATTTTTCAACCCGAAAACTGCAAGTTTCATGTGACCCATTTCACCTTGTTTGGCCAGTCATGGGTTAACTTGAACTACACTCACAACTTAGGTCAATTTCAATGGGATTTGGGGTGGATTACAACTCAACTTAGGTTGAATCACATATACAGTATTACATTCTAAGTACTTTGAATACATTCATTTATTATGGACACCACATGTACACTGTAGAGGCGGAAGATGACGATTAGCTATGTTGAGCTGTATTTTTTCCCAGACTCAATTTCACTCTAAGTTTCACTTACAAACTTGACATGAAATTCAGTCACTTAGCGTGGTCATGGTCTGGTTCAAAGTGGGTGAAATATTTTCACTTTCTTTCACCCTCTTTCTCAGTGAGCTGTGATTTCACAGGGTTTCATGCGCTCAGTACCAACTCAATTTAAACACACGTGCTGGAAGCCTTCACCCAGATGAGTAGAGGCATAATTAGTGGTGCCACCAGATGCATGGTGCTGAGAAGCAACTGATAGGTGGGTAAAGAGGTCCTGACAAGGCCTGATCAGGTCTGTGGACGAAGGTATGTCTTGAACTTGGTTTTAAATACTCCAACGGTTGCGTAGTACAGTGGTAAGTTCACTTGTTTCATTCATCTAACACCCATGAGGCTCTTGGTTCGATTCCGAGCGTGGTCAAAAGTTCATTAACACTACTAACACAAAAAGCAAGTGTATAATTGGCAAGTCAAAGATGGCAACAGTAAAAAAATAAAATAAAAAAGATATAATTTTTCGGCCAGTTCGGCACCAACCTGACCAGGCCTGACCAGGGCCATAATGCTGGTCAGGTCTCGAAAGGTGTGTGAGGGTCCATCAGGCTGATAACCCCCAGACCTGTCGTTTTTGAAACTGACAAGGACTCGGAAACCTGACGGCCTGATCAGGCCAGATACCGCCAAATCAGACCAGATCTGCGGTTCTCCAGTTTTCCGACAAATTCTAAGGCAACAACTGCCTCTAATATGCAATTTTCCGGTTTTCTCGACATATTTTGACGAAAATGCAACTCTCTGAAATTCGGAAATTTTATTTCTACTGCGGTCTTCTGTGCCTAAATCTACTCCCAAATGATAGGGCTACTTGCTGAATATTGAAATCAGCCCTGGCATACATAGATCAATGTTTTCCTCACAACATGATATGATAAACCAAATTCAAGTCTCCAAAATCCACAGGCCTTTCTTTTCCATGGGTATTTTGCATCGAAAGTGGCCCCTGTAGTAACCATACATACCTGCTATCTCTGCAAGGTAGAGGCACATAACCAGGGTCCTGTCAGCATGTCATACATTTTAACTGATGTCGAAGGTAAGAATAGCATGCTCAGCACCCTCGGGACTTTCTATAAATCTTCACACTTATGCATTACACTACAGAAGTGTGCCAGATGCTTATTATTTATGTTCTGTACAAGATTATTACGAACACAAGATGCCAGAGGCCACATAGTATGCCCACCCAATGTTTTTTGGACTGTGTCAATGATAAGTGTATAAAACAAGTGTGCTGAAGAACGATGCATTACAAACTAATGCCAAGTGCTCTATTCAAAATAATATGGGTGCTGGAGGCCCTGCTGATGAAGCCGGAGGCTGTGAGGACGATGCCGGAGGTCCCATAACAACAACAGAGGCCCCAATGCCGGAGGCACTGGTTGGATATGCACTTGATTATTTGTGCAATTAATCTGATGGTTGCCAGCAAAAATTATAAACTATCCTCGCGGCTCGGCATGGGCGCCATTGTCACCATCGCCACTACACATGCCGATGCCGAAGGTGCCGGAGGCGCCGAAGGCCATATCTGGATGAAAAAACCACTTACAGACAGAAGAAAAATGAGCATTGCACCTAGTCTATCATGTATTGGAGTGATGGATGGCACAAAAAATGTCCCGGGCCGGCGCCATCAGCACCATCGTTGCCATCGGCGCCGTCATTGTCCTTGCCGATGCCGGAGGCACCGGAGGCGACATCTTTTATATTTTAGAATGATCCACGCACTCACATGGCATGTGTTGAGGGACTGCTGACTATAAATATGTCTGGCAATGCCGGAAATGTCAAATATGGATGCCGGAGGCCAACCATTGCTAGTGCTGGCCAAAAATACGATACGGCAAAATATATTTTGAATATATTCACTTTGATACGAATACAATATGGCTTCCAAGTGCCACACTGAATACGAATACGGCCGGAATACAATATGATACAATATGGATAGGATATGATACGGGCTCAAGCGTATCCAAATATATTCAACTATCCTCGGACCCCAACAAAGCATATTTTCAAACACTTTTGTTGGTGATTATGTTCTGCTTGGCACCAGTACAACTTTTGTGTGCATTATTGGGTGCATTCTCTGATGCATACCCAGTTCTGCACACTGCTATTCTGTTGGTTTATTTCCAAGGAAGCCAGTGGGACCCAGTTATCGCTGTCCGCGTGCGCAAACTGCTTCTCAAAGAGTACGCTGACGCCGAGCAGACTCAAGCACCTGCTGACTCGGCAAATACTGCCGTAAAAGCAGCACAGTGGCCATCCCTGTTCGCCATGGTGGTGGCATTGCAGGATAGCCCCGCGGATTTGCAGGTGACCAAGGAAATGGCTGAAGGCAGGGTTGGTGGAGGGCATAAACTTGGCATAAACTACATGGATTTCATCAAGATAAAGGGGGCATAGAATCAAGGGGGTCCGGGCCGGTCAAGCCGTGACCAAGGGTAGGGAGGGTGGTTCGACCGACCGGCAGGCAAAGAAAAAAAAATCATTTTTTATTTTGGTGATTGAAAATCGGCAGAATACCATACTGATGAGCCACAGACCACTTTATAGCAGTTTTCCATCAACGGGAAGGTCTAACGGGGTGGGGATCACGCTATGTGGCCCAATTCGGAAGGTGATGCGATCAGTTTGGGTCTGTTTGACAGTGGACAGACGTCAGACGACGTGCATTTTTCGGCATTCTCGTCATCCAAGTCAGCCTCCAACCAGAGCGTGGGGTGACTAACTTCTCGATATAATACGAGTAGCTATCTGATTTGACACGTGAGACCTGTGTGTGACGTGACAAGTTAAGCGAAGTTGGAGTTAGTCACCCCAACGCCTGGCAACACTTGGCGCGTGCCTTGTTTGTCCCAAGACACGTGATCTTTCTGTACTCTGGACAGCAAGCTATGAATAAGGTCCCAGAGTGTTGGAGCAAACTACTGCATTGTTCTTCCAGTATCCTCCATAAAGCTATTGCTACTAGTAGATCTGGGTAACAGTTGCTTGCATTGAAGCAGCATTGAAGTGGAAGCCACGTGATCAACCAAGAGGTCAACTTCCTGGCAGAGAACTGTTTTTACAATGCTCTGGCACCAGAATACCACAGTAGCAGAGAGAAACAAGGGACAGATTTGAATGAACCCTCTGAGAATTTTCAGAATAAAAAGATACTGCAGGTAAATCATGGCCCCAGTTTACTTTTATGAATAGAGCTGAATGCTTGAGGCTTCTTGAGGCTGCGGGAACATGTTCAAACCCCAACCAGGACGCAACGCGCGACGCATCAGCAAAATCACGTGGACTGGGACAAATAAGGCACGCACCAAGTGTTGCCAGGCGTTGGGGTGACTAACTCCAACTTCGCTTAACTTGTCACGTCACACACAGGTCTCACGTGTCAAATCAGATAGCTACTCGTATTATATCGAGGAGTTAGTCACCCCACGCTCTGGTTGGAGGCTGCATCCAAGTCAAATTCTGGCTTTGTTGGCGCTAAAATGGCTTCTTCCAGGGTAATCTGATGTCTGTCCAAGGGGGTCCGGAAAAATTAAAAAAATACATGGGGCCGTTTTTTTTTAATCGACCCTTCACTGGGACCCTCCCTACCACGTGACTCTCAAATAAGGAAATTCACTCCCAGTTGTCAGCGAATTTAGGCTTGTGAGCGCTCAGTTCATCAAATTTTGTCACGATAGTATGTTCATACCTACCTACGGTGCCTCTTTGTTCGGTTTCACACAAAGAAAGATCCAATCCCCTGCGAGGCGGCAACGAAGCCAAGACAAGCCAGGATTTTCTAAACGGGACGAAGTCGCTCATTGGTCGCTCAGCACCGTGCTGGCCATCCCCTATGTGCCTACATTGGACTAAAATGAATGCTAGACACAATTTGGATGCAACTTTGAAGCTCCCAAGGGGATTCTGACCAATATCAGAGAAAGTCCTTTTTTTTTTTTTTTCGGACCCTCAGCGGGACCCACCCTCCCTGCCCTATGTCACGGCTGGACCGGCCCGGACCCCCTTGTGTCTGTCAGTCTATTCTATCACCTTGACCAGGCATTTACAGGAACGGCGAGAGGATGACGCAATGCGAGCGCTTTGGGCAAAAGATGCAGAGAAAATCGGCAGCGCGACATGTCCCGACTGTAACAGGGTTCTTAAATATGGGCCCGGCGGACTGATCAATTTAGAAAAAACACACAAGGGCACACAAGTATGCATAGACCTCAAGAAGAAAATTGACAAGGCAGCCGCCGCACGGAAGACGACTACGATTTCCAATTTTTTTCACAAAAAGGCTCCGCCTGTGCCGAGCACCGTGCAGGCACCAAGCTTGATCCAGTCCACCAGTTCAAACGCTACTGCCATTTCCGAAAATCCCACCATCACTGGCATAAATCCCACCATCACTGGCATCATTCTTCCTGCAGCATCTACCGTCGCCAAGCTATCAGTATCTCCCACGAATACCTCGGCAGACATTTCTCCGCGCCTCATAGACTTGATCCACCAATTGCGAGAGGGCGCGAGGCGTCTTCCCGCCACAATTCCAGAAGCAGACCATAACAATCCACTGTCACTTTTTGCCGGCGACCCCGCATTATACGTGGGAGAAGCCGTCAAAGCAGAAGACCTCTGGGAGGCGCTTGAATCGAACTTCCACAAGGCATTCGGCTACGGGATGAGTCCGGAAAGCAGGGAGTGTATGATTCAGCCCGGCTTGCAGGGAATCGGGGGATTTTGCAGCTTTCTGGAATATTTTGTCATCAAGCGGGGACTCCGAGGGGGGATGGTAGAGTTGAAGGTAGAACAGTTGCTGGATGCGATGAATATTGTGTGAGTTTTTCGAGTCCATATCTCATTTTATACTAATCAACGCCATCCAGGCTCAAGAAACACGGTACAGCGACATCAGACCCTGGCAAACTCACCAAAAATTCCATCATCGTTGTCGACAGTGACAGCGAAACCGAGATTCCAAGCATACCCGCCAAAGCCGCTCCCCATCCGCCCCCGGTGGCCCCGCAATGCACCGGTTTTATTTTCCCTTTCGGTTCAAATTACCCGTTTGGCTTGCACGACACGATCACCTTCCCGTGGAGTTTTACATCCAGTCATGGTACCGTTATCCTGCGCTCGTACGACTGCACCCGAAGCCCCATCGCTGGCCGCCCTACCTGTGACCCGTGCGCAACCGTACCCAGAGAACCGGCTCTGGCAGGGATCTTGGATCGTGCGGAACACGGAATACCCGAAAATGCGAAATACGCATACTATAGCTTTTCTGGGCTTACTGAACTCCTTCGACGCAAGAATCAGCGAATCCAAGAGCTTCATCTGCGTGGACTCAATACCGCTCGGAAA